AAGATATAGCAGCTGGGGTCTTAAAGGCTTGAAGATAAACAAGTGGCCAACTAGCTCAGAAGCAACAAAGCCCACATGGAAGAAGCACACCAGTATGTGTGACCACGAGCTGTCGAAGGGATCAGGTATCAAGCATCAAAGAACAAAAAATCATATCATTGTAAAGGTTGGTGAGTGCAGAGTGGAGACTCAAAGCCCATCAGTAGGCAACTGGACATTCTCTCGCTGAAGGGTTGAAGGGAGGAGATGAGCCAGTCAGGATGCAGGGTAGTAACGATGAAAAATATAATTTTCCTCTAGTTCTTAAATGCTTCCCCCCGCCACTATCATGATCCCAATTCTACCTTACAAATCTGCCTAGACCAGAGATACGGATAAGAGCTGGAAACACAGGGAATCCAGGATAAACCCCCTCAGGACCAATAATGAGTGGTGATACCAGGAGGGGAAGGGGAAGATGGCGGGAAAGGGGGGAGCCGATCACAAGGATCTATATATAACCCCCTCCCTGGAGGATGGACAACAGAAAAGTGGGTGAAGGGAGACATCGGTCAGTGTAAGACATGAAAAAATAATAATAGTTTATAAATTATCAAGGGTTCATGAGGGAGGGAGGGTTGTGGTGCAAGGGGGAAAATGAGAAGCTGATACCAAGGGCTCAAGTAGAAAGAAAATGTTTTGAGAATGATGATGACAACAAATGTACAAATGTGCTTGACACAATGGATGCATGTATGGATTGTGATGAATTATACGAGCCCCCAATAAAATCATTTTTAAAAAGGTGATGAAACCACGAAACACCTCATCACATGGAACGACCTGGAAACTACTATGCTTAGTGAAGTTAGTCAGTGACCAAAGAACAAATATTTTATGACCCTACTACTATGAGGATAAACACCAACATGAAAGCTGGCTCCCAGGGCATGTAAATGATTCCCATCTCCCAAGCAATGGTGTAGGGAACCTGCCTAGCACTCCTTCTATGTGTACATCTTAAAAAACGCGTTGACAGAGGACACCTCACCTCAAATGTAGTCAGTGTTTGAAGATGTGGGGAGAGGGAGAAGATCATTCAATTCCTGCCATACAAAATTGTGCTAAGGTCACCCCAAATGAACACACATTTCTACCAGAATAATAGGAAAACCTTACTAGAAATTCAAGTTAAGATGGTGTTAAGATGTGTGTCTCAGAGAAGGAAATTACATTTATGCAGCTTGAAAATAGGGAGGAGCAACCTCCCATTGGGGAAAACCACTTATGAACTAGTTTCTATCCATCCCTTGATGATGCAGGGCTACAGACTACTATAGACTATAGCTATATGAGCTATAGACTACTGGGACTTTAGACTCTGTTCTTTTGAGGTGCATAATATCTTTCATAGGCCACACCAGTATGACTCAATGTGGAAACCCCACTAAGTGAATTGGGCTTTACCTCCAAGTCACCTGTAACCCTTGGACGTAAGGCTGAAACTCCCTAGTGTGAGAAAAAAAAAGATAGCTGCTATCCCCAAGGGCATAGAACTGGGGGTCATTGGACTTTTGTTCACACCTCTTGCCTTGAGGGAGCACAATGAATAGTGGCCTGGGACTACCATAATCTTGCTATTTTAATGTCTTCCCTGCTTTATTAAGACATGTATTAATCTGGTAGATGTGGTTCTGCTGTTGTGAATGAATATTATTAAAATTTTGCCCTTTCCCATTGTTTGTGTAAATAGTATAAAGTGACTTAAGAGTTTAATGTGTACAAGTCAACAATCCATTTATTACAGTTGATAGCTGTCCTATAGAGGTATAATTTCCTTGTTTTAACTGTTTTATACCATTGGATAAATTAATGATATTGTCAATAAAATTACTTTATGCCCCAGGAGGATTATTGATGTCTAACATAAAATGACAATGATGTCTCTAAGGTGATCCATGGAGATATATATATATACACTGTAGATGTATGAATGGATTAGGGGCATGCACTTAATTCTAGCCATAATCTAAGGACAATTATTTCTTATGGGCCTGCTTGATACCCTCATGAAGAGATTACTGAAGATATGGGTGCTATAGCAAAGCGTGGAGAAGAAATTAGATGGTGCCTGGCTATCAGTAAGAATAGCATCTGAGGTATTATAGGCATGTCTTACAAAAACAGCCATTTAGGTGAGGCATCAACTAACTCCACATAGAAGAAACACACCGGGGATTGTGTGACACAAGTATTATAAATAATAAAACCCAAATCCAAAGGAGAGAATGGTATTAGAGCTTAAATTGTGAACACCTGGTTTGCAGAAGGCTACAGATGACAGTGTAAACCCAAAATGCATTTGCAAGGTCCAAGCATGGATTAAGCCTCTGGTGAATCCCCTCTGACCATAGTCGATGGATGGGAATAGCCATGTTGTCAGACAGAGCATTGAAACGTCAATCATGGCAGAATACCTATGGATTTTGTACCTGATGAATCCCCTAGACCACAGACCAGGGATCTGAATAAAAGTGGACCATTGCAGATGGAGTTATATTAAAACTTGCTATCTTATCATTTGATCTCCCTTTGAACCATTTTAAATTTGTTTTAGTTTTTAATATTTTCTATTGAGGGTTTTACTTTTATTTTGATATTGTTGTTTTTATTTAAAATGGAGAATTTGCTCAGTACACCAAATAGGATGCAAGCAGCGACATGACAAATATACAGAAAGATGTAGATCAACATAAAACAGTAACTTAGCTTAAATGAAGGGAAATCTCTTTAAATGTTATAACAACATACTCCCATGAAAAATCTTCAGTTAATTCTAAATTTCAATAAAATAAAGGGTAATAGGCTAAGTGGAAGTTAGCTTGTGAATTTTCCTTAAAATAAAATTCCAACTTTATTAATCCATGACAGTAAAACACTGTAACTAAAATCTCAACTAAGTACAAAAGGAGTAGAAGGAATTACTTACCTTTTTGTTTCAACAGCCCAGCAGAAAATAGTCATTACAAATACAGCAGACAAACTGTAGAGTGACTGATCTTAGAGTGTTGCACTGTATTTCAGTTTAAATTGTGCTAGATGTTCATCATCCGTATGGAGAGTTTGGTCCATGGTGTGATTTAATGCCAAGACCGATCCCAATTTGTTACAGAAACTAAGATTACAGTTGCTTCTCTTACTTTGACTATTTGCTTTTACAAGCCACATACAAAGGCATTTTCCCTGGTGCAGTTACAGGAAGTAGTCAGGGGTACGTCGAGTCACACGAGGCTCTCCACTACGAGGTGCTGGGTCAAACTGAAGAAATGAGTATTTTAAAGTGTCATCCAATTCCATGATAGCAGCCTGATTTCCACAACGATAACAATAATTGGGTGCACTGAAAATGGTAACCACGTTCCTATTGTGACACCAATTGTATCCGTCCATTACAAGTTGGTGAGCTCGGGAAACAAGTGAAAGACCATTGGAATGGGTAAAAGTTTCAGAGATGTCTTGTCCAAACGTATAGCCAGCACCACGTGGAGAAATACCCCACCCACCGCGATCATCTGGATCTGACCATAATAGATCACACATTGGGCCCTCGCGTGGAACTTCCTGTAATCGATCCAGTGCTCTTATATGATCCAGTGTATCTATGGATGGCGAGAGGCCACCATGGAGACAGAATATCTGTCCATCTACTAAAGCTGTAAGTGGAAGGTAATCAAATAGATCTGTAAAATATTTCCAAACAGTAACACTTCCATATTTTCGTAGACATTCATCATAAAAGCCATACACTTGAGTAATTTGTCGGCTTTCGTGGTTCCCTCTTAATATTGTAATACGTCCTGGATACCGCACCTTTAACGCCACAAGAAGACTCACAGTCTCCACGGAAAAATAGCCTCTGTCTACGTAGTCGCCCATGAATAGATAGTTCGTATCTGGCGATTTCCCACCAACTCTGAAGAGTTCCATAAGATCATGGAACTGTCCATGAACATCTCCACAAACTGTAACAGGGCAACAAACCTCTTGCACATTGGACTCTTTTATTAAAACTTCCTTAGCCTTTTCACACAGGGTCCGGACTTGGTTCTCGGTGAGCTGTTTACGCTCGTTCAGCTGCTCGATCCACTGGTCTAGCTCTTTGGTGAATGCCTTGTCCTCCATGTTGGCTCGAAGTCCTTCCCTGTGGCTTTTCGCCCCCCACCCACCCACCCCCACCCTGGGTGCTGCCTCCCTCTCCCACCGCCACAGCCGCAACTCCAGGCAGGAGAGGAAGGTGACACACAGGGTAGTCAAGGGTAACAGGCCCCGCCCTAACCCCATAGGAACCTCCAGGGCGCAGTCTCCAGGAGACACACCTGGGCCCCCCCCCACGCGCCCCGCCCAGCCCCGCCCAACCTGCAGACGCCTAGAATTGGCGGATTCTCGGGGTTCTGTGGCCACTACTCACTGGCCCTGGCTTTTGCTCTCTCCCTCTCATTGTGGTTGTTAATTTTAAAAAATGTTTTTCTGCATATGAAATCCAGGATAGATAAATCAATAGAGATAGTAAATGGATTATTGGTTCCTTGAGGGTATATCAGGGGAGTTGGGAGAAATGGCAAGCTAATAACAATGAGTACAAGAGGAAGAAAGTACCCTAAAATTGAGTGAATTGAATTGTATGTGAATTATATGCCAATAAAACTGTTAAATTAAAAAAAAAGATTCTTGGATGGCAAATTTTTCTTTCAGAATTTTATATATGTCATTCCATTGTATTCTTGCCTGCATATTTTCTACTGAGCAACACAAACTTATTCTTAATGAATTTCCTTTGTTCATAAATTTTCTTTTTCCTCAAGCAACTCTCAAGGTTCTTTCCTTGTCCTTGATAAGGTAGTGTGACGTTCTTTGGGGGTCTATCCTGTATGTGGTTCTTTCAGCTTCTTGACTGGTCATCTTCTCTTCTCTTATGATGTTAGAGGAGCTTTCTTCCAGCAATTCTTACACTGTTTTGTCTGTGAACTATTTTTGTTTCTTCCTGTACTAGAACACCAATGTTGTATGAGTTATTTCTCTTGACAGTGACCCCCATAAGTCTAAGGAATTTTGGATTTTAAAAAATTACTTGTTCTTCTCATAGATTGGATTCAAGAGGCTTTTGTTCATATCACTAGTTAAGTTTTCCTTCACTTCATTACTACTGCTTTGCTCTTTTAAAATGTTGTCTAAAGTCTACGATCTTTGTATAAATCTTATGGATTTCTAATTTTTGTATGATTTCTCATTTAATTTTTTCCATTGTTCTCTTAATCTTTTTCTCCATCCATTGAAGCAGTTGCACATCACTCTTCTGAATTCCTTTTCTTGTCGCGTCTACGCCTTTTATTCTTCAGGAAGGTCTTTCTACTTTGCATATTGGTCATTTGTTTGTGCCAGTCTTTGTGTTGGTGTTAAATATTAAATATACATAGACTACCAGAAGAATGAGCAAATCTATCCTGGAAAAACTACAGCCAGAATGCTCCTTAGAAGCAAGGATGGTGAGATTTCATCTCACTTACATTAGGTGTGTAATCCGGAAGGAGCGGTCCCTGATTCCATCATGCTTGTACAGCAGAAGGTCAGTGAACAAGAAGACCCTCGATGAGATGGAAGGATACAGCTGCTGTAATAAGGGCCTCAAACAAAACCTTTTATGTCCAGACTTGGTAGATAGACAGTAGGTTGTAGGAACAATGGCAGTGTCTCTAAGTGTCATATCGAGGCTAGAGTGTGGAGATACCAAGATGCAAAAGAAAATGCCAAAGCGCCAGGAAAAGTATTTCCCCGAAAGTTCCTTATTTAAACCTGCTGATTTTAGTAAGATGTGGCTGTCTAGCCATTGAATAAAAAGAGGCCTGTTTCTGGGACATTGCTAAATGAGGAATGAACTGAATAATTCCAAGAGATTTCTTATGAAATACTGGTGGTGCAACGCTCAAGAAAAATATCTTTTTTAGATCAATAACTATTTTTTGGCTAGGTGTTACAAACCCTGGATCTCTAGATTTAGGTTCTTTTTTTATGTGATCATGTCATACTACCTGAAATCAAAAGCTCTCAGCAATTAGGTTTGTTTGTTTTGTGTATGCTTGATTTTTAGTGCTAATGTGTGATCACTTTGGATTTAAAATGTAAATTGTGATTAAAGACTGATTATTTAAAGGAGTATATACCTGTATGAGAGAATTCAATAAATCTGACATTTTCCTATAAAAAACCCCTATAACATTAATTGTGAGGATGGCACAGGACAGGGCAGTAGTTTTCTATTGTATATAGTGTCTCAACAAGTAGGAAAATGACTAAGTGGAACTTAATAACAACAGCAAAAAACAGTAATAAAAATCTTGAACTCGGGTGCATAAGCAAATGTGGTGAAGAAAACTGATGGTGCCTGGCTATCAAAGATATAGCATCTGAGGTCTTAAAGGCTTGAAGATAAACAAGCAGCCACCTAGCTGAGAACCAAGTCCACATGGAAGAAGCACACCAGCCTGTGTGATCATGAGGTGTTGACAGGATCAGGTACCTGACATCAAAGACCCAGAACAAAAAAATCATGTCAATGTGAATGAGGGGGAGTTCGGAGTGTAGACCCACAGCCCATCTGTAGGCATCTGGACATCCCCTTACAGAAGGGTCTCAGGGAGGAGATGAGCCAGTCAGGGTGCAGTGTAGCACCGATGAAACATACAACTTTCCTCTAGTTCTTTCATTCTTCCCCCCCCTCCCCCACTATCATGATCCCAATGCTACCTTACAAATCTGGCTAGACCAGAGCATGCACACTGCTAAAGATCAGAGCTGCAAACACAGGGAATCCAGGACAGATAAACCCCTCAGGACCCATAATGAGAGTAGAGATATCAGGAGTGGGAGGAGAAGGTGGGGCAGAAAGGGAGAACCGGTCACAAGGATCTACATATAACCCCCTCCCTGGGGGACGGACAACAGAAAAGTGGGTGAAGGGAGACATCAGAAAGTGTAAGACATTAAAAAATAATAATGATTTATAAATTATCAAAGATTCGTGAGGGAGGGAGAATAGATGAGGGTGGGGGGAATAATGAGGAGCTGATACCAAGGGCTCAAGTAGAAAGAAAATGTTTTGAGAATGATGATGGCAACAAATGTACAAATGTGCTTGACACAGTGGATGGATGTATGGATTGTGATAAGAATTGTACGAGCCCCCAATAAAAGGATTAAAACAAATCTTGAACTCTCCATTTGCATGGAAAAGTATTTAGGAGGATGTTGTGCTGCAAAGCACAAAGTCAGCAGTTCAGAAACTTCTAGCCGCTTCAGGGGAGATACATGAAGCTTTCTACTCCCTTGAAAATTTACAGTCTCAGAAACTCAAAGGGGCAGTTCTTGTCTGTTCTATATGGTTGCTATGAATCAGAACTGACTCGAAGGCAGTAAATTTATTCATTTTATACTGTTGTTTGTTATTCACTTTTAAATGCATTAAAAATAAGATCATTTGGCAGATGATGCACTCAAAACCCCAAACTAAACTGGCTGCCATAGAGTTGATTCTCAATTCTGACACACAGTGGCGCTATAAGGACAGGGCAGAACTGCCATGGTCAATTTCTGAGCCTGTAAATTCTTAAGGGAGTAGAAAGCCTTGTCTTTTGACCATGGAATGGCTGGTGGTTTGCAACTGCTGATCTTGCAGTTAGCAACCCAACACCTAACCACTACACCATCAGGCCTCCTGGATGATGCGGAGAGAGAATGCCGTGTGCACAGAAAAGTGTCCGGGGAGGGTGGTCTGCCTTCATTGCAGTCTCATCTATGCTGCCTACATAGAAGTCTTGGCTCCAGCATTCTCTGATAGGGAGCCTGGGAATGGGATTTTTCTCTCCCCGGTCCTCTGTGCTGCCAAGAAACTTCCAGAGAACACCGGAATGTTCTCTGTCTCGATATCCATGACTACTAAAGTAATTACTGTTGTAGCTAATGGGGGACACAATGTTCTTTCAGACAGTAGACCCACGGTTACATGATTGCCAGGCTGCTTGAACAAGGGCCAGGTGCAGTTGAATAAGGGCTGTTTCCAACTTTTGTTAGAGGCATAGAAACTCTAGAATCCTTGGTCTCATGGTCTTTCCCTTGAAATGCAAACTTGGCGCCTACATGTACAGAAGGAATTTCCTATGTTGGCTTACCCTGAGAGAGGGGTCTGAGGAAGAGCAACCCAAGATGAACCTTACTCCCGAGTCATCTGTGTCCTTACCACGATGTAAATAAAGAAAGGCGTTTAACGGGAGCTACAGCCCTCTGTGAGCTCATTTTTCACTGGGGATCATCTCAGTGTGAGAAGCCAATATGAGTATCAAGATTCTGATACTCAAGAAGATTCTGACTTATAGCAACTCTATAGGACAGAGCAGAACTGTCCCTTAGGGTTTCCAAAGCTGTAAATCTTTATGGGAAGTAGAAAACCTCATCTTTCTCCCATAGAGTGGCCGGTGAGTTTGAACTGCTGACCTGATGGTTAGCAGTCCAACATGCATAGTAAAATTTTAATGGTAGAATATAATGGTGGGTATCCACGTTTCTCTCTATAATTTTTTTCAACTCGGATACATGTTTGAACATTTTTATAATAAAACGTTGGGGAAAACGCCGTGAGTTTTCCTAAGATGAAGGAACACACATGACTAAGCCTATATGACAATCTTGCTGAGCTGCCTCTCCTTCTCTAGCTGGCCTTGGATGAACTGACCTCCACTCCCGGTTCTCGTGTAAACTGGTAGCTTCTTGGCCATATCGATGAGCATCTGCTTCTGGACCTCAGGTCTCTGTTCATTTTCATAGCGCTCCTTGTCTGTGTAGGACAAGTGAAACTGGAAGCAGAAACGAGAGACAACATTGTATTTCCCAAGGATCAGATAAACAATAACAACAAAAAACCATTTCATTGAAAATCGTAATCACCTATCCTTGAAGCGCAAGTACCTGTCTGCTTTGTTATTTTTACTAATCCGTTTAATGAGATCAGTGGTATTACCTTTAATTCATTAAAAGGAAAACAACACTTGGAGATATTAAGTACTGTGTCCAAGGTAGTACTCAATTAAGAAGTACCATTGCTGGTCCCCGGACCCAGTTCATCTCACTAACCAGGACCGTTCCTTTCACAAGACTAGTGCAGAAGTGCAAGATAATAAAATGTAAATAAAAACCTACTTTAGATGTCCATTTTTAAAATGTTCTTTTGTTTTTAAAACCATATCTTTGTGTGTATACTCCCATTCACCTTTCCACATCTGTTCATCTTGCATATCTAGTTATCTATTTGTTTATATATGTTGTTTATTACTATTAAGGAAGATTTGTGTGTACAATAGTATTTACCTTTATTGTATTTTACTTTTGGTCATGCCCAGTAATGTACTTTGCCACTCCTCCTGCTGTGCCACCCACCCTATTATTGCATGCTACCTTTCCTTTCACCCAGTCAACACAGGTCTACTATTTGATCAGGGATTTACCTGTCCTTCCCCTCCCATCCTCGGAAACATCTAAGAAGGTTTCTTTCTGTGTGTAAATCTCTCCGTCCCACCCCAACCTATTTTTATATTAAGGGTCTCATACAATATTTGTTCTCTTGTGATTCACTGATTTCCTAGTGGTCATTATTCCTTAATATTGAATAGCAGCCCATTGTACATATGCACCATAGTTTGTTCATATAGTCATCATTCATCTTGACGACTACCACTAAGGTTATTTATATCTTTTTGCAATTGTATCTAATGCTGCAATAGACATGAGACTGCATATATCTGTTCATGTCATGGAACTTATTTCTGTAGGATACATACCTGGTAGCGGGATTGCTAGACTATATGGCATTTCTATTTCCATAATTTTAAAGAAACACAATACCATTTTCACCAGTATTTGTATTTTTTTTTCAGCAGTTCAAAAGATTTCTAGTGACTCGGTCTTATCAGAATTTGTTGCTTTCCGTTTTTCTGGACTTTGCAGTTATTGTTGGGGTGAGAAAACATCGCATTGTTGTTTTGATTTGCATCTCTCTAACGGCAAATGGTTGTGAGCATTTCTTCATGTGTTTCTTGTTCACCTGTCTTTAAAGAAGTGCCTATTTATATCCTCTGCCTAATTTAAATTGGATTCTTTGTTCTTTTGTTGTTGAGGTATTGACGTTTTCTATAAAACTTAAGAGATTACTATTTTGTCTGATAGGTCATTGCCAATTCCGTACCCAGCCCACAACCCCGTCTGTAGGATCTCTTTTGGGAGTCTTTTCGTGTACTTAAGTGATCATTTTTAGGAGATACCAGTCCTCTAGTACAGCTTCTGCTGTTTGTGATATAAATTAAGAGCTTCAAGGTGAGTCCATACATTTTCTTTAGTGATCTTTAGAGCTTTAAGGTTTGCATTTGGGTCTTTGAGCAACCGTGAGTTAATTATTTTTTAATAATCAAAATTCAATCCTGTAAAAATATCTGATATTGCCCATATCTTTCATCTTAAGTGTTCTGAGAGTATATGTTGTTGTTAGGTGCCATTGAGTCAGTTCTGACACAGAGTGACCTTACACACAACAGAGCAAAACACTGCCCAGTCCCGCACCATCCTCACAATTGTTCCTGTGCTTGAGCCCATTGGTGTAGCCACGATGTCAATCCATCTCCTTGAGGGCCTTCCTCTTGTGCAATGGCTTTTCCCATCTTAGGCTCAGGAAAAAAGAACTGGGGGAGAGCTCAAGCAAGATGACAACCGAGTAGCACGTATACTGAGACCAGCACAGAGAGGCCACAGACAGGGACACCCTTCCTCCTATACCACAGGATTCGCACATAAAGGACCGCCAAAGTAGACAGCAGTCGCTCTTAACCTGTCGACAAGCAGATGGATTATGGGCTCCCTATTACCTGTACCTCCAGTCAAAGAATAGTTAGCTCTTACATGCTCCGCTTCATGAAAGGTTCACTGAAAATAAGGGTTCTACAGAAAATTGTGGTAAAGAATGCTGATGGTGTTCAACTATCAATTTGAATACTGTTTAGGGTCTTTTTAAAAATTCATTTTATTTGGGGCTCGTATAACTCTTATCACAATTGATACATTCATCCATTGTGCCAAGCACATTTGTTGCCATCATCATTTTCAAAACATTTTGTATCTACTTGAGCCCTTAGTATCAGCTTCTCGATTTTCCCCTCCCTCCCACACCTTCCCTCCCTCATGAACCCTTGATAATTTATGAATTTTTATTTTTTAATGTCTTACACTGACTAATGTGTCTCTTCACCCACTTTTCTGTTGTCCGTCCCCCTGGGAGAGCGCTATAGGTAGATAACTGTGATCGGTTTCCTCTTTCTCCCTCCACCTTCACTTACCCTCCTGGTCTGGATATTCTCAATATTGGTCCTGAGGGGCTTATCTGTCCTGGATTCCCTGTGTTTCCAGCTCTTATCTGTACCCATGTACATGCTTTGGTCTAGGTAGATTTGTAAGGTAGAATTAGGGTCATGATGGGGGGGGGCATTAAAGAACTAGAGGAAAGCTGTCATCAGTGCTATGCTGCACCCTGACTGGCGTGTCTCCCTCCTGTGATCCTTCTGTAAGGGGATGTCCAG